CTCCTCTCAATAAATGCTGGAACTCAAGAGCCATCTACTCTGTTATCAGCAAATTCTGGACAAAGAAGATATTAATATGGTTAAAAATGTTTCACAGCTACAATATACTTGTTTTTCTTGAATACATTCTAAAACTCTCTTTCTGAAAGCCCTCTAAGGGAGCTATGCGAAGCATGCTCTATTCACCTCTTCCTGTTTTGGCCCAGATGCAAGTGCTGGACTAGAAAATATTATCTGCATATGTTCTCATGCGTGCATGTAATTGTTCCTTTTCTGGAGGTTCAAGACTCAAAAAGATACCAAAGTCATTAAATCTTTTTCTCTGACTGTCCCATGTTGAGAGCCAAGAACATAGTTCAGTAAAAACGGGGGGGGGCATAATTAGGCAGCTGCCCCAGGCAGAAGATGTTTGATGTTCTGAAATAGCGACAAATGTAATATGTTATGATTCTGTTTTATGTCTAGAGATGAAGAAAGATCTGTGAAGAATTATCTGTCTCTTGCAGCTTGTCTGTTTTTGGCAACTGCACACCTTAACTTAAGAGAGGTCATCATTTGCTACTGTGCCTCAGGCGTCAAAATATTCTAGGCAGTCCTCAGAGAGAAGGATGCATTTAATCTACTTTGTAACGTATGTATTATGGCTAACTGCTATGGTACAACAGAACTGTCTCTTTTAAAACAAATGTTGCACTTTGTTGTGGCCTTGTAAATTGAGGATCCTAGAATTTCCGAAATTCCCACAGCTTTTCTTTTCTTTTTCTTTTTGGTAAGGAAAAGAACAAAAAGGAAAGAGAAATACAATATTTTGTGTAAAATAGAAAAGAAAGCCTTTTAATTTGCTATCAGAACTGCTTGTGATGCAAAATATCTGCCATTCAAGTCCTTGGTGAGTCAGCTCAGGAATCCAGCCATTTGCTGATATATGGAGCCAGCCCTCTGGTCTGGCAGCATCATTCATTGGGTCACATCTTTGGGAAGCTGGCCAAGTTAGCGATTCCACAAGCATTGTTCATATTCCGGGCCATGAGGATATAACCTTTATTACCCCATTCTTCTCCCCAGCTGTGGAATGGAAGAAAGGAAAGAGAGAGAGAGAGAGAAATGAAAGGTTAGAGTCTCTATTACATGGGCTAACATGCTTCAAGTTGAAAAACTGTTACCAGTTCAAAATCCCAAACACTAACAATATTACTTAGTTTTTCTTCAACTGCATTTGTGGCTTAACTGCCTCTAGGCTCAGTTCAAAGCATTGGTTCTTCTCTCTAGAGCAGAAGTTGCGAATTACAAGTAGCAGCTACCTGCAAGTAGTTACTTATTTAAAAATTAGAGGAAAATGATGCTGTATTTTAATAGTAAAGAGAGAAAATGAAGTGACTTTGGTGGCTTAATGTTTTAGTTACTTTTAAAAGGGATTTTTCAATATATATTTTTTACCATTACTCATCCTAGTTTTTTTGAAAGCAATGGAAAATAATGGAAAAACAAGAAAAATATGTAGCTTTTAAAATGCAAGAATAAAAAGAGATTACATTTTAAAAACTACAATGAGTAATTTGTATGGCAATTTACATTTTAAAAGTAACTTTGCACACTCTGGAATCAGAAAGAGAAGCGATTCTCATGTGTACTACATATTCAGGTTGATTTAACACATAGTTGTCATACTGTGTTTATTGTGTTTATCAGGTGCTTATAAATGTCAGTCTTTAAATATTTTTTTAACAACAAATGTTAGAAATACCTGTGTCCCATATAAATCACTAAGTGTGGAGATCGCTAGAAAGCCACTGAGCTTTACCTGTTTTTGATGATCCAGTGCTTGGTGCCTTTTTGGGTCCCGTAGCCCACGGCCAGGACAGCATGGTTGATATTATCAGCGTTGCAGTTCTCATCATAATATACACCTGGGAAAAAGTAGAAAGGGAACTGACTTTAATTCAGTCGTATTACATCGTACTGCCTGTCAGCTCTTGTCTTTCTCAGAACTGAAGACAGGCAGGCAGGGCCTGGACACAGGCAGACTGTTACGTGAGGAAAACATTAGCCTTTTTCTGCTCCTCTTTCCCGGACTTGTTACAGCAATTTTCCTGCCACTAAGAGGTGTAAGAGCTGAAGTAGGATGCAGAAGGAGACTTTACTTTCTGGGACTTTTTAAAGAATATCATCTACCTCTCCCCCTCTCTTGTTTCTAGTGCCGGCAAAGCAAAGTCAACATCCTTCCCACGATCCCAGTGGAGAGCCAGGGTCTTTAGGAACTCACCTCGGCTGTAGAACTGGAAGGAGGCCAGGCTGGCATCAATGCCCACAGATACAGGGCCTATCCGTGCAATCGCTCTCTTCAGAGCCCTCTCGTTGCCTTCAGGGATCTCTCGGTAACCACGGCATTTGGCAGCCTTGCCGGTCGGGTTGTACATGCAGCTTTCATCCTACAACATGGGATATGGATGACGATGTCTTCAGAACATGTCTGACTTTGAACCCAGTGCTCCAATGACTATTGAAAAATAACTTCCTCACCTCCCAAATATTGCTTCATTCATTCAGAAGCTCACCAGCAAGACATGAGGGCACGTCTCCTGCTGTTTCCCCCCCACACTTCACTCCATCTTCTCAATCCTCCTTCTGTTGTTGGATGCATTACCACAACTTGTGCCAGAACATTGTGTTGTTTAACTATGCATGGTGCACCACAGAACTTCCTAGAAGACCATGGCATTGGCAAATAATATCAAAGAATGATCAGGATTGTCTCATGTGCTGTGAAAATCCCTTCAAGGGTGATAAAGCAAGCCCATAATGTTTGCCTACGAGCTGTAAGATATACATCAACTTAACAGCTTGCGCAAGACACCTTACCTGGCCAATGTAGGGATAGGAATCATCGGAATCGATGCCTCGGTTCTCCTTCACATACTCAAAGGCTTTGGTCATATAGCCGCCTCCACAGCCGTCGTTGTCGGTGACACAGTCGACCAGGTTCTGCGGGCTGAGGTTCAATAGCTTTCCGGTCTTCTTCTTGAGTTGCCCTTCTAAGGCACCCACAGAGCTGAAAGCCCAGCAGGAACCACACTGGCCCTGTGAAGAGAGGGAGCATCAGCTCAGATGAAAACCTGTTCTTGTGTGCGTTGGTTGGGTTATTCACATCTCCTGAATCACGTGTGGCTGTCCTTTCTCAGAGATGCTTGGAGCAATAATTCATAAAAATGTAAGGAAGGCTCTGATATCTCACTGCACTTCTGTGCTAGCTACAGAGAATAAGGCTTTCTTCCTCTATTGCCTCACTTTTTCATTTGTTTGTTTTTAGGGTGAAAAAAAAGAGGAACACTACAGCCATTTCTACTCCACCAGTCCACTCCTGCTTGGAATTCCATATCCTTGCCTGGATGTAACTTCAGCTCTCTTACGGTGAGCAGGTAAGTACTTAAACATAAGGTTGTTGCAAACATGGAGCAGGCCATTTGGTGTTCCTTCCTTAAGAAGCACACTTTGACCATCAAATATCTGGATGCCAGGAAGTTATGTCACATCAGTATCCCCCAAACCCAGCTTTGGCAAATGACAAGAGCCACTGGCTAGCTGAAACCAGAACGAAAGAGGCATAACCTGGTTCTTGACAGGAGTGACGTAGCCTTTCTTTCTGTAATCCACAGCATCAGGTGCCCGCTCTTCCCAGTTCGGGATGTACAAGGTGTCGTTACTGGGTTTACGTGATAGTGGAACTTTAAGCCCCATCATCTTTTGTACAACCTCCTCACTGGTCTGGAAAGCAAAACAAAAAGAAAGAGAAAGACAGAGATGGATAGATGCGGGAGGATGTAGGAGGAAACAGATGACAGAAACCTAAAAGACCCATCATCCTTTTTCCAGCAGAGCTAAGCATCTGGTTTAGTTTGGTCACCTTTGTATTAATTACATTGTCTTATAAAGAAAACAGCACAACACCAACGTGCTCCTTTGACTATGAACGAATCAATCCCACCTACCATATCTCCCAGGTAGTTCATGGCCAGTTCAAAAGTATGCCTCCCCAGAGAAAATTCCAGGTTATGGGTGTTGATGTATTTAAGGTTTTTCTCCCATATGAGCCTTCTGGATACCTCTTCCATCTGTGGGTTATACAAAGAGTGGTACAAGATAATATAGAAGAGAGATGAGAAAATGGTTCTGAAGGCATTATAGATTTATACATACAGATTTATGGCCCTTCCCCTAAAAACAGAGTAAGGTTCTAGCCCTCACTGTTTTGAATAAATCAGGTGTATAAACAGGAATAGAGACTGGTTTATATGAAGACAAGCCATCGGTCCCTCTTACTCTTTGTTGTCCACATAGAATAGCAGAGATCTTTTCCATGTTTCCATCACTCATCTTTCCCAGATCTATGTCCCCAGGAACCAAACCTGGGAAAGTAGGGGCTCTGTCACCGGGCTATTGCCATTCCTCACTTCAGATGGATCAGGCCACCCTTTGCTTTGGGGTGTAACCAGTTTAGTCCTGCTCCCCTTCTACAGGGCTGGCCAGCCTCTGCTGCTATACCTTGCCATTATATTCCTTCTTGTGGGTCTTCTTCCAGAGCTCCCACTGAGAGTCCAGCATCTCATCTGGGTAGGCGGCTGCCTTCGTAAGGGGCAAGAGTGTCGTGAGCAGGAGGGCGGCCCACCACATTCTGGAACGGCTGAGAGAGAGAGAGAGAGAGAGAGATGAGGTGAGTAAAGCAAGGGTGCAGAAAAAGAGACGGAAAGAGAGACTGCTAGTGAGTAAAGCAAGGGTGCAGAAAAAGAGATGGAAAGAGAGACCGTGATGTGCTGGTGAGCATATCTAGAGTGTTCTTATTTCTTTATTATTCATGACATTTACATCACACCTTTCCTACAACGAACACAAAAGGGTAGTCATGGGTTTCCCATGACATTTACATCACACCTTTCCTACAATGAACACAGAAGGGTAGTCATGGGTTTCCTCCTTACTTTTATCTTGTCCACAATCCTGGATGCAGGGCGAGAGCCACTGACTGGCTCAAGGGCAGCTGGTCGAAAAATAAATGCACAAGTTGCAGGTATTCCTGAACTACTGTACTTATTTTCTGGAGGCTGGAAGAGGGATAATAGAGACTGGTTTATATGAAGACAAGCCATCGGTCCCTCTTACTCTTTGTTGTCCACATAGAATAGCAGAGATCTTTTCCATGTTTCCATCACTCATCTTTCCCAGATCTATGTCCCCAGGAACCAAACCTGGGAAAGTAGGGGCTCTGTCACCGGGCTATTGCCATTCCTCACTTCAGATGGATCAGGCCACCCTTTGCTTTGGGGTGTAACCAGTTTAGTCCTGCTCCCCTTCTACAGGGCTGGCCAGCCTCTGCTGCTATACCTTGCCATTATATTCCTTCTTGTGGGTCTTCTTCCAGAGCTCCCACTGAGAGTCCAGCATCTCATCTGGGTAGGCGGCTGCCTTCGTAAGGGGCAAGAGTGTCGTGAGCAGGAGGGCGGCCCACCACATTCTGGAACGGCTGAGAGAGAGAGAGAAAGAGAGAGAGAGAGAGAGATGAGGTGAGTAAAGCAAGGGTGCAGAAAAAGAGATGGAAAGAGAGACCGTGATGTGCTGGTGAGCATATCTAGAGTGTTCTTATTTCTTTATTATTCATGACATTTACATCACACCTTTCCTACAACGAACACAAAAGGGTAGTCATGGGTTTCCTCCTCCTTACTTTTATCTTGTCCACAATCCTGGATGCAGGGCAAGAGCCAATGACTGGCTTAAGGGCAGCTGGTCAAAAAATAAATGCACGTTGCAGGTATTTCTGAACTACTGTACTTATTTTCTGAAGGCTGGAAGAGGGGCATAGGTCTCACTGAAGTGAAACCCTTGGGGGGGGGGAAGGACTTCTAAACTGCTAGAGTTCAAGTAACCCAAGTGTCCTGTAATCCAGCTTTCCTAAATCCTGCTGGAGAAAGCAGTTATTGCTACGCCTCCTGGAGCCCACAAAGCAGAACCACAGGCCATCCTGCAGCTGCTTCCCATTAGCACAATAGTTTCCTGCAAAATATCAGTCTGGATACATAGCCAGCCAAAATTCTCCTTTAAAAACTGAATTTACCAATTTTTAGACGTTAGTTAGCATAGCTTCCACTGTGGATATTCAGTGGATTTCTCTGTTTCTGCCGAAGATCATGCCTTGGGCATAGATTGGATCTCATCTCTGTTCTCAACAGAATGTGGAAATATTCCTTTGTGTGTGTTTTTTTTAAACTACAAGTCCCAGAAGGCAACACGTTGGCTGTACAAATCATTTAAAGAAAGGATGTTTCCAGTGCTCTAAAGAGGAGACAGATCACACACCCTGGTTCAAGAACGGCGGCTAGGAGATGTCAGGCAAATCATAATCACGTACAGAATAGCACAACGGAGCTTTTTTAAAATGGTACCTTAAACCTCTCACAGATGTGACCCTCTTAACATCGGCGAGCCTGTCCGGTGCCAAGTGGCACTTTCAACCGCTGTTGGCTCACATGTTGAGAAACTGGGATGCACTCAGGGCCCAGTCCACAACTGGTGAGGCCCATTCAAGGCCCGCTTGTGTGCAGGGATCCCAAGCACGGTCAAGACCATTAACCTTCTCATTCATGGGTGGCAATTCCGGTGGACCGAGAAGTGGTCTGTTCAAACTCAAAGAAGCATTTCCCAACCCAGAAGAAGAAGAAGGAAAGAGCCATACTCCATGAATTTCGTTTCCCCCGTTGCCCAATAGTTCCTCCGGCCCTGTGTGTCAAAACCCTGCGTGCTTCAAGAGAAGCAGCAACCCCGTCACTCACCTGAGTCCGAAAATCAGTGGCCAAACCGAAGAGGGCAGATGCACAGAAAAGAAGTCTGCACGCTTTTTTGCCACCGATTGGGACGAACTCCTGATGGTCGTTTGTTTTTATGCTGAGCTGGTTTTAAGGAAGTCTGGCGGCTGATGGAAAATCTGGGCTGTTTTTCTCAGGCAAACTTTGCTCAGATTTGCAGCCCAACCAATACTTGGAGAAAGAGTGCACAGCAGTGGCGGAAGGCGGGAAGTGGGGTGGGGGGGAGCAAGAAGAGGCAGAGGAGGGGGGCTGCGGGAGGAGAGCCAACATCCTCACATGATCCCGTTAGCAAAACCGGCATCATGTTTTCCAGCTGGAGGCAGCTGAACCTTTCAGTGTGGAACGGGAAAGAAGTGGGGAGAAGTTTATAGATAGAGATTTTCTTTGTGGTGGTAGGTCTTTTTGTTTATGTGCATAAAAACAAACTTGATGGAATAATAATCTATGATTATTATTAGCTGCCATAGGTGCTTATTAATAAAGTGCTAGCCTTCAAAAGCTGTTTTACAAGCATTACGGGTTTTAGTCATTAACGTTTTAGAAATAGCTTTCTTTTGCATGGAAACTCCCAGAATCCCAAGATCTAGCTCTCTCTGCACGCTTATGAAGAGGCAGACCAGCAGATCTGCTGTGTTATCAGAGAGCACTTCCCATCCACCCCAGCCAGGATGGCCAGTGGTCCTGCCTTATAGGAACTGCAGTCAGAACCATCAGCAGGCCATTGTTTCCCTTATTGTCATGTTGTGAAAACATCACTGTCTTTATTGGGTCCCAAATCTTGCAGGGCTCTTGCAGAATTCAGAAATGTCCGATAGATGCAAACAGTTTTGGACAGGAAAGCAAAACAGTCATCTGGACTAGTTTGTGGCCTATTGAATCTCTCTCTTCTAAAGTCCAATTCATACCAAAACATCACACCCTGGAAAGGATGCATGCTTATTCTGGTTTCTTGAACGTAGCCCTTATTTCTTGTAAGCCAGCATGCAAGTGTATTTCTGAAGCAGAAGTGGATAAGGTAGGTTCTTCCAGATATTCGCTGGAAAATTCCCACGATTCTTCACCTTTGCCTCTGCTGGCTAGCAGTTCTGGAAGTTTCAGGACAAAAACAACCCATGGAAGACTGTGCTTGGATCAAACCCTGATCTACTGATAAATTTTTAAAGTTCAGTTCCCCCCTCCCAACTTGTACCCATTTTATAAATCTAAATTATACTGTTCTTACTGCTCAAAGCTGCAAGAAAAAGACCAACATCTCATGATTATCCTTTTCACAATGAATTTGATTCTTGGACAAATCAACACTGTCTAACCCAATTTTGGATCAGATTGGCTTTATCTTGTGAAATCTAGAACAGTTATAGAAAAATGCAATGGGCAGCTGGCCTTGAGGTCATCTTGACTTACTAATATATTTTCCTCATAACCTGAGTTTGCTGTGGGTGAATGATGGGGGATTTCCAGCTAGAACAGGAGCAACAACCACATGACATGACGGAGACCAACAGTCACAGCCACTGACATGAGACATCCGATGCAACCAAATCTAGCAGCAGCCATCCCCTGATGAAGTTTAACTAGAATGCCATTTCACTCTATTTCCCTAGATTACAAATTTTTAACTGTGGCATTTTGATAGCAAGATTTTGTGACCAGCTCTTGCTTAATGTATATATTTTGGGAGCCATTGCAGATGTGCTACGTGGAGAAGAAACAGAACATGGAACTGTTAGTGTAACAGAGTGTTTCACAAGGACTTGGGAGACCAGAATTCAAATCCTTCATCATTCTTGAAACTCACTGGATGATCTTTACCCTGCCACCATTTCCCAGTTTGCCTTAATCAGAGAGGTGTTGCTGTGAAGATCAAAATAAGGAAGAGGATCACGCCTGCAGCCTTGAACTCTGCTTCTGTCTAACGGTAGGGTTGGCCCTTACCATGATAAACCTTCTGAACCCAATCTCGGTTTATTGATTAAACTTTGCAGAAGGCCAAAAACTAAAGACTGAAGGGTAGGAGTGTCCTCCAATGAGAAATAGCTAAGGGGTTTGGAAAATTGGTACAGCATCATGAGAGAAACAAACAAACATTAATTGAGAGCATGTGACTTTAGTCATGAGGTCTTAGTTCACTGGGATTTGGAATAAAGAATGTGCTGGTGAAGTACTTTTCCAGAAAACCACAATTCTTGCATGCTGGAGAGAAATAATAAATTGCAAGTGGTGTGGTTTGATTGTCAAATTCCATCGAGGTTATTTACAGATTGCAGTGATTTGTTTACCTACAGAAATCTTTCCTGACCATGTGTTCTGGAAGCAAAGGCTATGGCCTCACACCAAACCAAAATATATTTTAAGTGGAGGCAGAGAGCAAGAAATTGTTCATCGTGAAAAGTCACGTGGAGAGACTGATTTTATATTTTTATATGCTGGGAACACTAACAAGGGTGTATTTTCCATGGTTCAAGTTGGAAGGGACCATTTCAAGTTCAATTGTCTGTACTTTTTTTTATAGCTTCCTCAATGGACCCCCAAAACAACATTTTGATACCTTGCCTTTTAGGGAAAACCTTCATTTCTTGCCTGACCGTCTGTCTTGCTAGGGGTCATAGGCACAGATCCCTTGTCAGCCGAGGGGGGGGGGAAATTCCTCCACAAACAGCTAAAAATGTATAGCTGACCTGTAACCAAGGATGATGACAGTGGCGTCTTGAAGATAAAGGAAGTGGAACAATTGACACCTTGGCTGCAAAAGATGCAGGCTGTGAATAGATTTTCCATAGCTCACAGGCACGGGGCAAGCAGAAGAAAATAGCTCCAAAATTTGCTTATAAGATCTACTGTGTTTTGCACCCGATTTCCATCAACTGGAACCAGGTGTCAAAAGAAAAGGGAATAAAATTGCAGAACAAGGTGGCTCCACTTCACCCACAGTTGCTTTCAGTACCAGACCAGGAGTACTCAGACATGGCTCTTTCCACAAGCACACATTTGCATTCTCTTCTCATATCCCTACAAGATTTCTACTGTCTAATTTAAGATGGGAGGCACATTTCCCTCATCACTGGAATCCAGGGTAGTGCCTTGTAACAGTTTGAGTATCAGAGACCTGGACTTTTCTAGTCTTACATTATGTTTTATGCTATTGCTATTTGAGCAGTAATTCAGTGTTTACTGTTTGTTACTCTGATTTACTCATAACTGTTTGAAAACTGCCTAGAAAAGTGCTCCGGCATTAATGGAGTATTATATAAATTGCAGTAATAAATAAATAGTCTCCAGTAAAGCATACAACTCACTTGATGGCTTGGCCTTTTGCAGCCCTACCTACCTTTTAAAAGGAGGGGGAGCAGTGAAGAGCACTCACCAACTCCCGAGGTAACCGGTTCCACTGTCATACTGCTCTAACAGTCAGGAATTTTTTCCTGATATTCAACTGAAATCTGGCTTCCTGTAACTTGAGCCCATTGTTTCGTGTTCTGCACTCTGGGATGATCGAGAACGGATCCTGCCCCTCTTCTGTAGGGCTTTTGCAGCCCTACCTACCTGATATTCAACTAAAATCTGGCTTCCTGTAACTTGAGCCCATTGTTTCATGTTCTGCACTCTGGGATGATTGAGAACGGATCCTGCCCCTCCTCTGTAGGACAGTCTTAGTCCTGGAAAGATCACACTAACAGAAACCTGCTAGTCTTAAAGGCACCACAGGTGTCTTGATCGTAAGGCTGAAACAAATCCAGCCAGCCACCTCTCTAAAAGTTGCTCAAGGAAAAACAACAGACGAAGGAGTTAATGAAATGAGTGCACCACCAGGAGGCAGTATCCAGCAACAAGAAAAAGACACAAACACACACACACAAAAGAAGTGCTAGAGGTAGGGGAAAAAACAAGAACTGAAAAATCTAATTCAGGAGACATCTGGTCCTTTCCTTCCCCCCCAAACACTGACATATGGGGAAGCTTCAGAAGAAGAAGGGGGAAAAAAGACTACACCCCCACCCACCCCGCCCAGGGCTTTGCAGCAGCTCATCAGAAGGCAGCCATTAAACAGGACCAAAGTGCCACTTAATCTGTCAGGAGCATCCTTTGTAACCAAGGTCTGTTTTTCATCTCTGCAGGTTTTCTTCCCCCTTCAAACAAGGGTGGCCTCTTCTGAGATGATCCTGAGGTTACTTGAGGTGCCTGTTGTTAAGCCTTCTTTAGAGGAGGAGAAGCTAGGCGAAGCAAGGGTGTGCAGGTATGGATTCATTCAAGCTACCAACTCTCAAAGGAAACTTGGAGCTGGGCCGATCGCCTCTCCCAGGGCCATGTCATCTGGATGGTGTTAAACATGAAGTACCAAGGGGTGAGTGTTGGTCGACGTCCGTTTTGGACGCTGACCTCTGTTAAGGGTCATTCGTCCTCAAGAATCCGACCAAGGTGCCATCAATCAGGAAGACTAATCTGGGTGGGACTAAAACTCCCAGAATTCCTCCCTACCTATTTTTTTGTTCCAGGCTCTGCTTTCCAAGCAGTCAACATCTTGGGCTTAAATCCAACTGCTGCAATTTAAGCCCAGCAACAAAGGTAGACCCACTGGACTGACCGAGGAAAGGGCCAATCAAGGGATTGATTCCATGGGTCTGTGCCAGTTGGCTTCAGCCCTTTCAGCTGTGAAATAGTTCTCTGCCCAAAACAAATTTAGCAACCCCCAGATACTTAGCTGTTCGAAGAGCAAAAGCCAGGAAGGGCTGCTCTTTCTGTACTACATTTCATGCTCTGCGTGCAGAAGTCACTTGGTTAGACTATAATTCCCAGAATCTCCTGCCAGGATGGCCACTGGCCAGCCTCACCATGAAAGGCAGTTCTAAAAGCCCTGGCTCAGTCGGTCACCTCTTTCAACCTCTACCTCCTCTGTGGGTCTTTCAACGTACGGCATTTGTGTTTCTCTTTTAAGATGCTATTCTGACTCTTCTTTAGGCTTAAAACAGGTTCAGATTAGACTCAGGCAGTTGTTTATATAATTTTTATTCAAAACTGGGCAGTCTGAGATTTTGTATTACAATGACTGAAACAGGCATTGATATTTGTTCTTCTTTCATCATTGTTCTTTCTCTGCCTTGGTTTTAAAAGAAAGGGCAGTGGACTGCTGCTCACTCAATATGTTACAAACTGCTCTGGCCACAATCTTACGGCAAAGTGGCCTCCCAATAAATACCACCACGCTTCATTTGAGATTTCTCCAGAAAGACAGCAGCATGTTCCAGGAGGTCAGCTCCACGCCACTGAAGTCTTTCCATGTGCGTTTCAATGAAAATGAACGTGATTTTTGTGGCCACTTCTCTTTCTTCTTCTTCCTTGCCAATCCCAGAGAACATATTTGAACAGAGTGTATCAAGAAGGGTGCAGAGAAATTTGTTGTTTTTTTCCCCAACACACACACAGAGCAACGTGCACCCTCAGATGCTAGCCGATTGCTGAAAATAACCACCACAGTAGTATGTGTGCATGTGAGACAGAAGACAGCAGGCAAGAGAAAAAGGATTGTGCACAGGTCTATTTTACACTGGATTGACAAACAATAAGGAAACCCATGTGAACCCAGCAAATACAAAAGCTTTCTGTCACTGATGCTTTTATGGCTTGAAAAGTGCCACCCCCCCCCAGCACATTACAAGGGAGGAGGTGGCTACCGCACTTTAATCACAGAGGTTACAGACAGACATCCTGATGAAACTGGCCTCCTGCAAAAACAAGCACTATCTGGATAACTGGGAGGCAAGTAACCGTCTTCTGTTTCTCATTTGAGCTTCCAAGCCATGAAGGTACGGGAAGGTGTCTGCCTTCCCTCTGGTCTGGGCCCCTTTCTCTTTGCTTGTGCCCACCCCGCACTCTTCCCAGTGGCTGTCAGCACCCTCACTTCCCCAAACTGCAGGCAGATATGGTGCCCTCAGAATATTCAGATGCAGGGCAGCAGAGTGTCAGACTCACAAGGAGTGCCATGGTGTCAGCCTACAGAACAACAGGGAGAGGAGCAAGCTGGAGCGCTCCTGCATTTCGCTAACACTGCTCGAGTTACGTGCAAAATCAGACATGGGTGTTGGTGCACACGACTTGACACATGTGGCTAAGAGTTCCTAGACACCTCCATGTTCATCGATGACAGAAATAACATAAGGGTGTGCATCATTTAGTGACAAACTCTGCCACCCCCTGTTCCCTGACATGTATAAACAAGAATACATTTTTAATATATATATATATGTATATGTATAAAAGGTTATGGCATAGAAGTGTTTTAAAAAACAACCACCTGCTGAACTTTTTAAAAATCCCTGATGATTGCACCCCGTAAGTCTCTCCACTTGCACCTGGCGGGGCGGGAGGAACATACACGCACATCCCCGCACTTGTTTCAAAACCATGTTCAATGTTCTCTAAAACTTCCAGTCTGGTTGTGAGGAGGCTGCTGTGGCACGGAAGCGTCTGCCCACATTAGGAACAAGCTGGCCTTCGACTGGAGCAGCCTTGCTGGACAATTCTGCTTCCTTATCGCAGGAAGACTTTGGCAGTCTGAAAGGACTCAGAGAGAGAGAGAGCGAGAAAGAGAGAGAGAAAGGAAGAGATCCAGCCACTCTTCCCCTTACATGGAAAACTGTGATGTCTGCACACATCGGTTTCAGTCCTTATTCCGAAAAGGGAGGAAACATGTTCAGTTCTGGGAATTCTTCATTATTGTAGTTAGTTCCCTGGTCTCCCAGCATGGATAACATATCCTACAAAATGAAGATTCAAAAACAAACAGTATATTCATTGTACAGTCTAGAATTATTGTTTTTAAAATCTTTTTGTATAGAGTTGAATTGTTGGCTATGGATTCTGAGATTTGCGATCCAAAACCGTCTGGAAGGCACTGCGCTGGGGATACTGTTCTATACTGATGCTTACAACTTCCTTTTCTCTACTCTTCCTCTTGGTCTTTCAGATCCATTGCTTTTTCCTGATTCTCTCAACACACCCCAAAGATCTGCTTCTCAAATAATTCCACTTTAATGCAGGACTCCCTTCCTGAAATATGCTGAAAATAATTTTTGCTTCCTTCAGATTCTCTTCATAGAACCTTAAAAAAAAGTTTTTGGCTTGCTCCAAATAACACGAAATGGTGCACACAAGAGATGCCAGCTTGACAATGCTTTTTAAATAATTTTCAAGTTCTTAATGAGCAAGCTACCACCTTGGGCTCACAAGGAAATACTGAACCCTGCTTCTTGGGGGCTTAAAGCTTCTGTCAGGAAGATGAACAGCAAGACTTAAAACCAGATTCAAATCCTGCACCCACTGTGAGACGAGCCTTGGAGCCCCAGTGCTCTGTATTTAAGAAAAGATAACGAGAAATGTAGTCCAGCTGTCATAGAGACAAACGTGGCTTACCGGGAAGACTTCTGGCTGATTTGGCTGCTGCTGGACGTGGGGCTCTCCTGGGCTCTGTCCATGGTGCTGGCTCTGCCATGGTGGCCACACGCCAACATTCTCTGCCGTCCGAGTCTGAAATTGAGCTGGGGTCTGCCCACCCTCTCCAGCTGCTGTAAGATAAATCATGCCATGCTACTGTGTCCCCTACTATAGACACTTCTGTGCAGAACTAAGGGTCAAAACCACCTCCACTTTGAGCTGGGAGTGAGAAAGTGGCCCCTTGACCTGTTTCCAGTGGCACAATTAATGCACTTAACAATGATCTGTCCTAATGGCTGATGTGGGGCCCCCAAAGCCACCTCACTACTTTTCCATGTGGATGCAACCACCTGTATAGTATCAAATGGTACTCGGACACTATTTAAACTCAATGTGAAAGCCAAGACTAATCCTGCTGGGTGAAGGCAGAGCTTTGTCTGCTCCTCCTCCTCCAGGAACCCCCCAGCGGGGCATGGAGAGATCAGCCATCCAGCATCCTCTGTCTCTGCAGCACCTACTTTTCCTTTTCATCTTCATCATGGAGGTTCTACTTTTAAATGGTGCTGCTCAAATGAAATGTGGGGGACCCATTTCAGCAAGAGAGCTATATTCAATTTCACACAAGTTCAGAGAAGTCACATTCCAATGATAAAAAGAGGCAAAAGACATGACATTATTCAACACCCTGAATTCTGCTTTTCCACAGAAGGATGATGAGAAAAATAAAAGGAAAGCACTCTGAAGCACTTGCCACCATTGCCTGTAGCATTAAGTGGAAAAAGGAGGGGGACTGCATACCAAAGTTGGCATTCCGGCCTGTAAGATTTGGGTAGGTGGCTCCACCTGGTGACCCTGTGGAACTGGGCGTCGACATGGGACTGAAGGACGACGGAGTGGCCTGGAAGGTGCCCATGGCGAAAGACGGGGTCCGAGTCTTAACAGCCTGAGAAGTCACTTGCTGGAAGAGCATAACATTCATTAGTTAAAGAGCTGTCATGATGATTAATGAAAGCAACATGGTGAGGTAGGGAACAGTCTTCCACTAACAGCAAGGAAGGTGAACGCAGGCTTAATAATCAAGTTGGCTGCCAAGGTGCCATTACAGACAGAGCAATGGTTTTATCTGAAGAAATGAGCCTTCCCTTCTCCCTTTAACCCAGTTAGGACAATGTCTGGAAGGAGAAGAAGCCAGAAGAGAAGGTTACTTGAGCTGTGAAAGACGGGCGTGTGCCAGAAGCCCAGGCATTCCCGGAGACCTGATCAGGATTGGCATGCCGAGAGATCTGGGCCAGGATCTGTCCTGCTGAGGTCGAACGAGAGGATGGCGGCTGTGGTTGCTGCTGGATCACGTTTGCTGGAGGCACCATGGTACTGCTCCTGGAAGGAAAGACAAGGAGAGGGGCCGAATTAACGAAAAGGGAACCTCTGAGCTGACACACCTCCATGAAACAGGATCAAACAATTAACTATTTAACTGTTTTAGCTTTAATCAATTACTCAAGTAATCAAAATTTCAATTGTTAAAAATACTTCTGCATCAAAAGAAAGATTTTGCACTGTTACGTAACGGAAAGATGTCATGACAAGAAACTTCTCCAAAGAAACGTCACCAGATTTTTACAAAAAAAAAAAAGTGGCTGAAAGTTGGGAATGTGATGTACAGTTGGGCTGCTAACTATGCCTCAGAATGCCTCCACTGTAGGTTTAGTTTGGCGGCATAAAAATAAAATTAAAAAACCCACCAACCAAACACCTGCTCTTTTCTAACTGGCCTGACATTTTTAAATTCAATTTAGTAAATGGTGCAGGCTTCCTGAATCCTAGCAAGCAGTTCCAGTCTGCTTCAACCAAACACCTGCTCTTTTCTAACTGGCGACATTTTAAAATTCAATTTGTTAAATGCTGCAGGCTTCCTGAATCCTAACAAGCAGCTCAAGTCTGCTTTAAAAAAAACGAAAACAAAAAACAAAGCAGCAGAGAAAATTATTGTGTTTGAAAACAGGACTAAAAAACAAAAACAAAAAACAAAAAACAAAGCAGCATAGAAAATTATTGTGTTTGAAAACAGGACACCCCACACAATGGTCAAGGTTGGCCAGTGTTTTGGTTCTCTCCAGAAGTGCTGGTTGTTTGTGCCACATGCAAAGTCCTTGCTTGCCAGCCTGCCTCGTAGGGAAGCCACTGGCAATTTGGTTGTCACCTGAAGTTCTCAGTTGGGCGTGAAGCTACAAAAGTGTTCCCCTGAGAGAAGAGAGACCGGTTGGCAGGCACAGTGCTGGAGGAAATGGCTTTCGTCTGGTCTGCAAAAGACAAACAGGTCCACAGTGTGAGTTCCGCCGGGTGGCTGGAAGCAGCTTGTGGTGCAGAAGCCAAGACACCCCTCCACTCCAAAGCTGAAGATGAACATGATGAGCAAGGGGGCTGGCTTCAGAATCTGCTGCCTGAACGAGGAGGAAATCTCCAGTCTCAGAGCCCCTGACACCTTTTACCGTAGTGTAATCATGCAAGGGGGCCTGCCCCCTTCCTCAGAGGCATCCAGAGAAGCCCCTCCTCAGGATCCTCACTCCATGCTTACCGCCCACACCCACTCTAACCTGCACTGATGCTGCCGTAAATGTCACTGAAACGAGGGTCCCGCTCCTGGCTGAACAGGGTCTCTGTCTTCTCCAGAGGCTTGCCGTGCTCTGGGCCTGTAGGGGCGACAGACTGAACAGCAGCCTGGAAAGAGAAGAAGCACACAAACACAAAGCTACGCACGTATACACCCTAGTTTTCCTTCTACAAATCAAGGAGAGTCTTCCAGATCTTTCGACGACAGTTTCCACAGTCCTTTGCTACTGAGCAAGCTGAATGAGACAGGAGGGAGTGTCCCGAAGGCCAGCAGCTCCTGACCTGTGCTATAAATGAACAACCCAACACTTCAAGCTGTCAGGGTCTCCTCTGATCTCTACTGGAACTACGAGTGCCCACCAGCTGCAAACTCCGACACAAATTGAAGACATCAGAGGCTAGTTTAAGTTTTGTTAACACTTTTGGGACAAAAGTAAAAATGAAGGAAGGGACCCTTTGTGGTCTTACCTGTGTGTGATCATAACTGCCTAAGCTCTCCCTTCCAGGGACCACTTCGAGTTCTGCTGGTTGCGTTGTCTGCTGCTGCCTAAAATACAAGGCTTCAGTGAGAAAAAGCTACTGAGTCTTAAGAGCACAAGGCTAGGCAGCTGCTGGATCACTCAGCCTCAGTTCAGAGACAACAGCTGCCTGTTGACCTAAATGGATGCCTTTATTAAAGCACACCCCCACCCCCTGGGTGGATGTACAATCAGTAACATCAACTGAAGGCATGCCAGCAGCTCTGAAACAATTCAGAGCAATGGAAGCTAAATGACATTTTTTTTTAAATGACAAGTTATAAATTAAGCCATGGTCTCAGTAGGTCCTGAATGCTCAGGTCAACAGCCAGGTTTTCACTTGGCAACGTGGATGTAATCGGGTCTCCTTCGGGAAGGCTGTCCACGACTAGGTTGTTACAACCAAGGGTATAATCTGTGGGATGACAACCTCAGCCCTTAATGGCTTGGCAGGTATCATGCAGGAAGAGGTAGAGCCTTAAATGCCACAGCGAAGAAGCCTTTGGAGCAACCACCAGGTCTAAGGTGATCATCAGAGTGAAGTCTCTGAGATGGGCACACGGGATCTCACCTTGCCGAGAGCTGCGCTGACCCCATCTCCAAGGGCAGGCTGACATTCGAGCCCAGCTGGGGCCTCTGCATTGGGTTTGGCAAGGCAGGCCGAGGCTCCTGGCTAGCATTCCTGGAGTGTCATTCAGAAGGAAGAGGGGAAAAGGCATAATCAGGGGCAGCCAGGGCCAGTGCGGTCAGCTAGCGCGCTCAAGCGAGAGGTGGGGTTTGTTCACTAAGACCACCTAACAGAAGCAAACACCTGCTCAAATCAAAGCAAGCAGCCTCAAACTAAAACCACCGAGGCTTCCCTCCTCTGACCCTTTGCTTTGTTGCAAACATGTAGCAGAAACCAAAAGAAACTGGAAATATTTAATGGAATCAAATCTAAAGGGCTCCACATGCTGAAAGAATAAGTTCAACCTACTAAAATAGCTCAAACAATTTCAGTCATTTAATTGCATACATCATCATGTAATAAGTCAGAAATGACTTGATAGCACTGGCTGGATAGTTCTGTCTCCAAAATCAGAGGCTGGGAATTTAGCTCTCCTCTGTGCATCCTGGAAGAGCCAGCCTGCGTGACATTGGGCAACCTGCAGATCATGCTCTCTAGCCCTGTTTTTATCACAACAGAATCAGAAAAGGCATGCCAAGGTTTGTGCATCCTGGAAGAGCCAGCCTGCGTGATGTTGGGCAACCTGCAGATCATGCCCTGTTTTTATCACAACGGAATCAGAAAAGGCATGCCAAGGTTTCTGCAGGACACAATTATTTTGATCAAGAGGGAGAACCCAGGGATTCTGGATTTCATGATGAAACACGTCTAACTCCAGTCCACAAATGGTTTGGTGGCAATAAATGCGTTGCGCTTTCCCAGAAGCACAAGTCCCGTGTTCTTTAGGCTACTGGTTTCACCTTGTCCTTATTCACCACGACTCCTGCCCAGCTGAAACCAGAATACTCTCTCCAGGCAGAAGCTTGCTGATGATGTAGAACCAAGAATTTAGCCTTGCACAAAGACTGATTTTGGAGACCCTGTCCACTCAATTTACCCCCTGAAGCTGGTATATGGAAATGGGATGGAGGTATGTATGTATTTGCGTGTTGTAAGAAGTGAGAAGAGCCAACAACCTTCTCATGCCTGGAACTACGATACTCTTCCATTCACACTCGATCAGACCAACAGCTTTTAAACAAAAGCAGCTGTCATTTTCCACATGTGGTAAAGACTGTGTTTGTTGTCTCTCAACTACACAAGCTACAGGAATTATACCAAAGTGACACCCACACTGTTTGATGAATTGATGTCACTCAACACAAGTGTAGCCTCCATGAGTGTAGCTACTGTCCCCTTGATGAAACGGGAGATATTTCTTGTCACTTTCACCCCTGCCACTGTTCAACATGTTTGCCAGATAAAGCTGACAAATCACAGAACTGGGCAGTGGAGACTCAAAGCTGACAAATCACAGAACTGGGCAGTGAAGACTCAACAGAAGAAATAGATTGGTTTAACCAAGGTATGCCTTATTTTACCTGATTTATAAGAACTAACTCCAGAGAATTTTGTTGTTAAAAGCCCCAAGGCCTTAAAGAGGGGGAAGGTGAACTTTCTGAAGCAACTCCATGTTATAACTCTTTCGGGTGGTGGGGGCAAGGAGCAAGCGCCAAGTACGGTCTCGAGTACGTACTTCACGTTGGTGTTGGTACAGATGATGTACTCGATCTCGTCCGAGTACGGATTCTGGAAGGTGAAGGAGCTAGTTCTCATCCACAGCCATTCTCGGTTCTTGGACCGGAAACGGAACATGACTGATAGAACTTGGCCTTTTAGCTTCACCACCTGGAAAAACGGGTTTTAAGGCTGTCAAAAGCAGCAGCCGGAGGGTGGGGGGGAACAAACACGAACTAAGATGCCTCTCAGATGTGTCATCCTAACATTTTGCCGAATCAGTGGTTGTCCTTCTACCCAGTGCTTGAAACTGTTGGGAAGAGGGAAGCAAGGAGGCCCATATGTACATGCACAAAAGTGTCCCAAATTCCACCTCATTTTGGTCCTTCCCCACATTTCTCCCCTATTTTTTGGCTTTCTCATAAACAGTAACCAAGGGTGCTGCTCTCCTTCTTTTCTTCTGGACTACGAGCCCTTGCTGTACCTTCTCCTCCTCCTCCTCTTTTTGTCTTCTTGAGGCCTCGATCACTAGGGTTTTGTATCATGTATTTCTATTGACCCTTTTTGCATGTGGCTTTACGGGGGAATAATGGGGATGGGGATGGAATGCAGTGGCGTGAATCCCTCAAAAACCACCCTACCCTGTGCCACCTTCTCCAGAAAGGCCTAATGTTTTGCTCCAGACTTGGAGGGTGGGGGTGGGGGGAAGATCTCTGACCAAGGAGGCTAAGGAGCAGATTGGTCCAAAGAATTCAAATCACAATGATCTCACAGGGCTGCTGAAGGAGTGCAGGTCTGACTCAGTTGGTGGCTAATGGCACCCAATGCTTGTCTGGATGGTGGGTTACCTGCTGAAAGCTATCCCTCAAAAGCTGCTGGTCTTCAGGGTGGCAGAAATCAACAATGTCCTTCCCTAAGAGTTCCTGTTGGAGAAAAGAAGCAGAAACTTGAGTTGGCAAAAACTATCCGGCCAAGCTCCGTCTCATGGTAGCTCCTGGGCTTATAAACAGCAGCAGGATTGTAGTGTCTCCTTCCCTCTGGTCATTCTGCAGAGTATTTTTTAGCAAATTGCTACTGAGTTTCCATTTTGACAGTTAGTTCTCAACTTTGGCTCTTATGCTGATCACATGTTAAATTTTCCTTTGGTGATATGGTTGGCGAATTAAATTAAAAAAACAAACAAACACCAAAGTAAACCCCTAGGATTCCAACTTCACTCTCGACTGACAGCCTCTTGTGCTTTCCAGAGTCAGTCTAACCTCAGATCCTCCGGAACATCTTGGTTCCCAGTGAAGCCTCAGAACCAAAGAACACTGGAACTGTAGTTGCAGGTCATCTCAAAGGCCATGTCAACCCCTTGTCGAGGCAGAAAAACTTCCCCGTAACGTCTTTTTAAAGTGAAGCCAAAGGAAGCAAAACAAAGAGATGGCGAAATAGACACAGAGGAAGGGAGGGAGAGTGTGCAGGGGAGCCAACAGGAGCAGCCACTTTTCCTGGGAATGTTTGCGTCTTCCAGCTGCTCACCTGGGGCTGGTAGCCGACGGTGGCCATGCAGCGGTGGTCAACAAAGGTGAAGATCCCGTCCGTGTTGTGGCGGGAGATGAACTCTGTCGGCTGGCACACAGTGTTCATGTCTGCGCAGCTGGGCGAGCTTGTGACCTGTGAAGCAGGGAAAACAAGGATATCACCATGTTAGGAGGGGAAGACCAGCTGCAACAGAGCACCAGGATCCTTAAAAATCTTCGTTAAAATGGGAAGATAAAAAACCTATGCCAAGGCTCTTTCTCTCCCAGCCTTCTTTCAGGAAAGAGTCCAGAAAATGTTCTTGTTTTGGATTAAAATTTGCAAAACTCCCCACAGGCTTCTGGGAGTTATATAGTCTGAACAAGGAGCTACAACTCCCAGAGTGCAGACAACTACAAAGCTCACCAACTTCCATGCTCTTTGGAAGCCAGAGAAAAAGGGCTACCTCACCTGCAGCCTGCCGATGGCCACCAGACAAAATTTGCTTCCTTGTCCAGCGTCTGGGTCATCATCTGGCAGTGACACCCCTGAAACAGAAGAGGGAAGCTGTGGATTCCTTCTGCAAAATGTGTCAGTCACGCCTTGTTCCAGAAGGCTGGTTTCTAAAGCCACTCAAAAAACCGGACAGGATTAGCATCAGTTCCACCGGACAGGAGAAACGTGGAGTAGATGAGGAAGAAGTCAGCAGCAGCACCGTTGGTCTGTGAAAGACTGGGAGTGTGGAAAGCAGGCTGCTTGAATGGGGGCTCCTAAAACACGTGGAATGTGTCTCTGTGCTTCTGGAATGAGTGACTCAAGCATAGTTACCTGCTGGCGGCCACGCTTTTATGTAGCCTGTACAGTGGACCACGACAAAATGGGGTTCGCCTTCCTTCACCGCACCCAATCCGTTCCTAGGAAGAATAGAGAGACAGAAAGACAGAGAAAAATTGAAGATAAGAATCTGGGGATGCAGGAGCAACCACGTCCGTCTGTAGCAGCAAATACAAAATCTTGACACCACTTAAAAACGGAACAGCTGCCCTTGGCTTAACTTTGAATGTTTGTGAATAACACCAGAGGACGCTGGCTGAAAGCCTGCAACAACTTGTGCCACTGGAACTGGTGACACTTTATAGCACCAGAAGACCCTTTGCCATACTTCTAGTCAAGACTTTTTTCAAAAAATAAAGGAAGATAACTAACAAGTGCCAGATAGCTCTACTAAAGAAATCCAAAATCCCTTTAGAAAAAAAAAGCTTATGGAATCTGCATCCATTACACTAGCTTGTACAGGCACGGCCATGTTTTAAATTTCAAAATCAACATCTTCCTGCACGACCACAGCTTGTAACATATAAAGGAAGGGGATATGTTGTTGTCACTGTTAGTATGTTCTTTCTTTTCTCTCCCTGTGTAAACTGCCTTTGCGCCTTTCAATTGTACCTGCATCTGTTCCGCATGAAACTGAGGCGGTTCATGGAAACTGGATCGACTGCTGCGTTGCCGCACCTGTCAGGCAAAGAACCAGGGGTGAAAAATGCACGCATTCCCTTTGCACGAGGCAGAGCGAGGCTTCGCTGAGATGGGCAGTTCTCCACCTGCAGCACACGCACTAGACACAGAAATAGTCTCGGTGGGATGCAGCATTTCTAACACTGCAACTAAAAGTTATTCTTCAATCTAAGCATAACATGCCATCCCTTGCCAACAATGGTGGCGAGTCTCCTTGCCTGCCACATGAGCAGTTGTGCTTTTTCCAAGATGGCCCGAGGAGGTATTCCTCACCCCCTCACACAAGCATAAACACTGTTAGCTGCAACGGTGTCTTCGTGTTCACACACAGAAAGACCCTTTCCATCTCCTGCTCAGAACATCAGGCTGGTTCACTGTATGGATCCCGCAAAGCCAAAGTTTTTCCCAAACCGGTTTTCCAATCCAAATCCAGACACTCAATGAAACGAAATCTCATCGTTACCTCATCCGACATATGAAGGACCTCCGGGAACCCATGCACATCCTCATGGACTGCTGGCCTTCCTTCTTGACGGTTCCAGTCTTTAGGTCAAGGATACGACCTGAGTAACAGAATGTTGTTTTTGAAATGAGGATGCTCCTGAAAGGAGCAGGGAACCCAGCTTAACAATGGGGAGCCTCGTTGCTCAACTTTGCCACCAGGAGAGTTTACTATGACCAACAAGTTGAGAAGCTGCAAAAAACCACCTTCCTCTACAGCCTCTTTTCTAAAATGTGCTGCAAACAGAAGGGAGGGTTTGTGTTCAAGGTGCCAATGATGCCTTTAGAGAGGGAGGGAGGGAGGGAGGGAGGGAAGGAGACAGACTAAGGGCAACCTGGAGAAGATCACCTGTGAGGGCATTCTCGGAGGTGGAAAGCTGTTCCCGCAACTTCTCCACATCGTCCGGATGCACCTGGTCGTAAAGTGTGCTGCCAAACCACTCAGACTGAGGCTGGTTGAGGACGGGGGTCACCGAGTCAGAGACGTAGACCACCCGGCCCGTCTCGCAGGACACGATAAAGAGGAAACCGTCCGCTGCCTCCAGGATCAAGTGCTTGAGTTCCTGCAGAACGAGAGATCGCAGGCTGCTGTATCACCTCTGCCAGCAATTCTGGCCCCTGCGTCGTGCCCAAGGCTTCCCTGGGGGTGACATATTTGCTCTGTACACACACCTCTTGGTTCTTCTGCTAAGAACCAGTGGACCACCCATTCTCCCAGACAGTGCTACAAGCAACTAGAAGCTAACTGTATAGAGGATTGTCAACTTCCTAACTAGCCCCCATTGTGCTGCCTTTTACTAATGGCTTGACAACCACCAAAAGGTGATGGCTGCCTTTTACTAATGGCTGCAGATCACCTGGCTGTTAAATGCAGAGCTACTGAGCCGGACAGAGAAGTTGGCAACCATAACTGCAGGAAATTCAACACAATTGCCTGTTTTTGTAAGCGCTTCTGAGGCAGAGGGGCAGCTTAACAAAGGGTTCTTTTACTATTGTGTTCATTTTATTGACATGTTGGATTGAAAGCCCATAATTGTCATCCAAAGCAAGCAAATCCAACAGCAAAACCCGGACCAAATGCAAGAAAGGAAGTCCCCATGGGAGGAAAAGTGGAAGGATACAATCTTTTGTTCAAAACCCAAATACAGTATACTGCAGAGCAAGGAGGCAATGGCATTAAAAACATGATAAGGGAAAGGAATCACATACATGCAGAGGTGTGCACACGTAAATAAAGAAAAGGAGGGAGAGATGATGCTGGCTGAGGATGATGGAAATTTTAGTTCCAAACACTGGGAGGTCATGTCATCACAACCACATCTGAAGACATCCCCCTCCCAAGCCCCTGTGGACCTCCAGCTCTCGGCACAGACCTGGTCCGTGAGGAAGGACGGCTTGTAGCTGCCATCGGTGGAGGTGTTGCCAGTGCCCCGGAGGGACTTCATGTGGGAGACAGCCATGCGGAGGATGGTGAGTTTGTCCGGCTTGCGGGCCAGGGCGCTGCAGGTGGGCACCATGTCCGACAGCTCCGTGATGTATGCTGTCATCTTGTTCCGCCGACGGCGCTCAATTTCACTGTGGTTCTCTCTGAGGGATGCGGGGGGACGGGACAAAGAGAGAGGGAGAAAGAGGAGGAAGGCAGGTTTTAAAAGCCGACCTGAAAAGATACACAGAGGGCTGACCCAGGATATGGACGCAGGAGGGACCGAGGGAGAGCAAACACGGGCCCAGGAAAAGCTGTTAAGATTTGGAGAAGGCTCATGCTAAGCATGCAGGGGGTAAAGAGAGGATTTCAACCAAGAGCACAAACTTGCATTTTGAGAACATGTGAGAACAGCCCTGTTGGGTTTAAGCAAAAGTCCCTTTCGCCTAGACTTCTGTCATCAACAGAGGGAATCTGCAAATGACTGAATCCACCCCACCTCTTCGCCACAATGGCTAACCAGAACACCTCCAGAAACAAGTCCAACTTTCTAGGCTCCTTGCATGGCCGGTGATGGCAGGAGGAAGAGCACAAGAACTCCCATCTCTGCCGTGAGTTATGCAACAGCTTCCCAGTAGCTGAATGTTATGGCCGCGGTCTGCCAATGAAATGTCATTCCCAGAGAACATCTACAACATACAGCAGTAGCCAGTTTGATTCCACTTTAACTCTCATGGCTTCTCCATCCTGTCATTTGGGAAGGGACTTGGGAGTTTTCTACTGTTGATCAGAGAAGCAGACCAGAACTCTCTCAAGCACAGAATGACAAATCCTGAAGTGACTCATAAATCTTTGGATTTCTGAGGATGCAGCCACATGGTAACAAGTGGTGTCGAACCGCTATCGCCGTGTAACACAGATTGCACTCCCAGAGTCCTGGGGGGGCTGGATGGAGAGAGCTACGATGACAAAATCAACTTCAACCCTGCTTTACATTCATTCATGGTACGAACATGCCTTTTTAACAGAGACCGCAGTGCTTGATCCGTGCAGGAAATGAAAACCTCTGCTTTAAAGACATCAAAACCCATGTGCTGTCAGGGGATGGAAAAGAAATGTCTGAAGAGATAAACCAATGTTTTGGAAACTGGCCTTCGGTCTCTGCCCACCCTGCATCTTAATAGATTTTCCACAAGGAGGGGGACACCCACCCTCCAAAGAGATGAGAAATTATGGGACAACTCTGATGTGCGTTAGCATGGAATGGGAGATGGAATCAGATGGATGAAAAGATGAAGGAGGAAAAACACGCCTTTTATTGGTTTCTTCAGAAGTTAAACAAAAGGAATTTAAAATGATCAATCCATAGTATTTTAAAGGTTGGTTGAGTTTTAACAAGTGACGATGGCCTCCCTGGATCACGCAGGGAACAAAAAAAGAAAAGAAAAGAAAACTTTGCATGAAAGGGCCAAAGATCTGCCTGACACTTCAGAGTGCTGGACGAACAGGAGAACCAGCTTTGCCTTAAACAGAATTAACTAAATAAATCACAGGTTTGGACAGAGGGAAGGAAGGCAATACTCTTAGCAAGGACAGGGGCCACAGCTCTAGGAAGCAAGTGGAATCCAAAGGCAGAAATGCACAAATATCTCTTGGAGGAGCATTTTGCTATAGCAGCCAAGCCATCACTGAAAGCAGGGCAAACCTGTTTCTGTCTCGCCGGCCTTAACAAGCGAGGAAACAATGGCACCACCTCGCACACAATCCAGCGATTGCCAACTTCAGCAGAGGACCCTCTTGGCAAGGGAGGGGTGGGTGAGGTGGGTCACAGGTTTATCTACCAACCCTGAGAGCTCTCAAGTCACCTGCCACAAAGGCTTTGGGACTGAAAACACCCAGAAGCTAGATTCTAGCACCCCTTGGGAGTGTGAGGGACGCCAGCGGCCGACTCTCTCATGTTCAGGTCTGTTTAGTCATTTGCAATAACAGCAACTGAGTGCCAGATTTTGGAGAACTCCCATTTTGGCTCTGTAACTCTCAGGAACTCACAGCCAGCATGGACACCGAGATGTGCTGTTTACCTATGTGGCTTGACCTGAGGGGATCAGGGTCCTCACCCCCCTACTGTTTTCTTCCTTTTTTTCCTCCAAGGTGGCTGTCGACACTTCTTTACAAACCAGCAACTAAGATGCCAGTTTCAAGTCCTCAATTCAGGAAGGAAATAGGGAGGAGGGACAGATGAAGGAGCAGGTAGGAGCAAAAGAGGAGAAGGAGGTGAACAAACTCTGTTTTGCCATGCTTTTTAATATATATATATATAAATATATATATAGACGTATAGGTCTCCATTTTCCTACCTGGCCAGTCTTTCCTTATCCGCTGAACTTTGTTCATCATCAGACCTAGAAATAAAATGCTTTTTAATATATATATATATAAATATATATATAGACGTATAGGTCTCCATTTTCCTACCTGGCCAGTCTTTCCTTATCCGCTGAACTTTGTTCATCATCAGACCTAGAAATAAAATCGGTGAGCTAAGCTAAAAATGAAAAGAAAGGAAAAGAAAAGAAAAAAAAGAAGGGAAAAAAATAAAAAAGAAACTCAAACTAGCTGGGAAGAAAAGGGGAAAACTGGGAGATGTATTAGGAAACTTGATAATCCAGTATCATGCTTGCATAAACAAAGTGGACTGAAAGCTGCACTTTTACCTTTGTGAGGTGTGCTGCGCCCACTATATAAAAAAGAAAATGGCTAGGGACCCTGCCCACAGGGGCTGTCAAACTGCTTGAGAAAAGACGGGGTGCTGAGAGGCAGAGGAAACAGAGGTTGAAAGAAGAGCACAGAAGGTGACATGGATGCTCAGAGCCAAGCAGGACAGACAAGATGCATCACGGTGCAGGAAGGATGAGCGCTATTTCACTGCAGTCCCCCCTTCTTTCAGCTGAGGTTCCCTAGAATGCTGTCCCGGAGTAACATGCACTGTTGCTGAGTGACCACACTCAGGTGGTGTAGCAAAGACCACTCCACCCCAAACAATGGGCACAAGACCCCCAAGGGAGTCAGGCCTCCCCCCACCCTGTCTTTGGTTGCAAAAAAAAAAAAACAAAAAAAAAACACTTACCAAAATTAACAAACAACAATTTCACTGCTGTTTCACGATATTCAGAAGCTACCTGAGGCAGCTGCACCTTATTTTACCTAACAGCAGAACTGGCCCATGGAAGCAGTGCCTCTGAGAACATACAGAACATATTCTTCACTGATTAACCGCAGCTATGTGAGATGATGGATAAATGTTGCAAATCAGACAACTGAAACTGGACACAGAGACCCATGGGGTATAGTGGCTGGACAGCAGGATTTTGCCTGGGGAACTCAATAACCAAATGCCACTCAGCCCTGATGGTAACTGGTAAGGCCTCGGGCCTGTAGCTCTCTTGTAACTTACCCTACCTGATGGGGTGTTCTGGAGATAAAACACCTAAGATTACCCACCCTCCTACGAAGGCACATCATCATCAGAAACCAACAGTGATAACACTAAGCCAGTCTGTGACAAAGTAAATTTACAGGCAGTGTTCCAGGGCTATCCCTGTATTGAACATGAAACACAATTAAAACGCTTTGCTCGACGGAACAGAAACGATATAACATGGACAAATAACGCAGATGTGTACATTTCAGATGTGCATCATTTAGTTTGCCACTCTGCATAGTTTATTCTCTTCCTGCTCTTGAGTAGGGTAGGGCCAGGAATTCTGCCATGAGCTGACATCCCACCCTCAACAATAGGATGAAACCTCATTCGGCCACATCTGTGGCTTCAGTCACATCACAAGACATTAGTCACATGGCCATGTAAGGACCAGAAACCTGTTGGAGTTGCAGGAGGCAAACATCTCTGGACGGCATGGAACAGAAGTGATGCTCAGGTTGACATATACAGGGGTAAGAAGACGTGGCAGCTACCAATTCATTGCAGAGGCCCTGTATCAAATACAGGTACTGTACTATCTTCCGAGTCCCCCAGCTTCAAGACGAAATTAGAAGTCTATGAAATGGGCCAAGTGCCTTTCAAATGCTTTCTCCCAACTGTGTTCCATGAGGGACAGAAGACATGCCACTTCCTTCCAGACCATGTGAAATAGAGAAACTGGAATGCCTTTGTTTTTTAAACCAATATGATTCACAGAAATGACTCTAAAACCTAGATATGCAGAAGGTTCTAAAACCCTAACCAGGAAACCTCCTCCAAAAAAAGCTTTCTGTTTGCAAATTCTGCTTAACTCCTTTGTTCTACACAAACACAGTCCTAAAGTCATAAAAGTAGGTTTCAAGAAAAACCCAAAAGAGCATCTCAAGGCACCGTTAAGAACAACTCAAGTCTGAAGGCAAACCAACAAAAAGACTCTAACCAAAGAGCAGCAACAGCACAATACCCAAAATGAAGAGTTAGATTAAGATACAGTAGAATAAGCAAAACACGAGACCCCTGCCTGTGTCTGCTGAAAGCTGAATGCACAACAAAAGAGGCAATCTGCTCCCCCCCCTTTGCAGCAGGGATGGGACAAGTACTGCCCTCAAGTAGGGGTTGTGGCCCAAACACCTGTTGGGAACCCACACAAGCTACATGCCATCCTCTGACTAGCCAGATCTGCCTTTAAAACGGAAACTTCAAGTGCTGCCTGGAGGAATGTCCTGTGCCCAAGAGAGGTTAAGAGATAACAACAAATTTATTTTTCCCCCCCAAAGGCCGACACAGACTTATAAATTGTGAAAGAGTCTCACTTCAAACCAAACTTCAGGCTGGCTTTCAAATGTTCCAGGAACAAGCTTACGACACCTTCAAAAAAAAGAGAACCCTATGCTGAAAGTCATTCCAAGCAATCTTGTTGCAAGCAAAACAGGTTCCTATCTCAAGAGGATAAAAACCAACTGGGAGGAAGTAGGAGGTAGAATTCCCACCTCTTTATGAGGTTTGCAGAGTCCCTTTCAAGGCAGGTTATGGATCCAAAGGAATGAAGCTTGTTATTGGCCAGACACGCAGGAGACACCCTACCACCATAAGCCCATTGGCCCAACTTTTAGAAAAGTCTGGGAGAGTCAAGTTACCTGGCAGGCCACTTTATTTCTCCCTCACTTAATCTCAGGGAACACACATTTTGCAGACAGCTTCACTATAGAAAGAAGCAATTAACACCTTAATCATGCAGATGACTTTAAAAGAGAGACCTACATCATTCAAAGTAGCTTAAACACACACACACACAGGCAGACATACATGCACACATATATGTGCAAAAACCCACAAAACTGTTGGAAATGTTCAATCGCTCTGGTGAGGCCTTTTACCAGCTTCCAAGTCCGTGTTTTCTAAGTGACTAATTGGTGTGACAGTTTGAAGAGACATGATGGAGCATCTTCTGAAGCTTTTGTTGGAACAGCTGAGGCTTCCTCACAGCGTCTGAACAAGGGGTTTTCCACAAGGCAAAGGTGCAGAAATTCTTACCTGGCAAACCTCTCTTTGTCATTCGGGAGTTGGTCATCATCACATCTAGGGGTGAAAAAAAAACAGTGGGGAGAGAACATGCCAAAAAAAGGCATTTGTTATTTTTTTCCTGTTAAAGAAGGGTAAATAAAAACCTAACCCACAAAACAAAGATGAGAAAAACAGAGCATGGTAGCAAATTTAAAAAACAAACTAAAAACACTGTTTCCTGTCAGGCAAGGCACATAAATGATATTTTTCCTTGGATTCTATGACTCAGAGAGAGAGGAGGAGGAGGAGAACTGATTCACGAACCTGCCGCCTGCATTCATTTTTTGTATTATAGAGAAATTGCCTGCTCTTTCTCCAACATGTTCAGTTCTCTCTCCTTCCCCTGTCTTCATTATGCCTGCACAGCCAGCCTGCCTAGCTACCCGGAGATGGGGGGGGGGACAACTGTTCCCAAGCTGAATATTATTTCATTCTCTGAACCAGATGAAAGTGGGTGGGAGGTTTTTTGATGGGGGGGGCAGGTTCAAAAGGGAAACAATGCTGAACGTGAAAAAATGTTATATGTAAAAGCATTCAGCACTTCAGATTTGCTTCACTGCAAATTGTAAGGATTATTCCGAGGGGACATATTAACTCTGATCCCCGCCCCTCAGCATTAATAGCCAGTCAGGGATCACAGACTGGATGTGACATTATGGTAACACTAAGCAGTGTATGAGAGTTAGCTAGCTTATTAGACTAAAGGCATAACGAGGCCCAATACAGTCTGAAGTTGGGAAATCTTCCATGAGGCCCATGCCTGATCCTAGTCAATCAGAGATTTCACTTAGAAATGAACAGCTTCCCAGCACAGCAATAGACCCAAGTCTAACTGATTTCCTTGCCAAAAGAAGCCCAACTCACCTGAGAAATTTGCTGTTCCCTTCCCCGTCATCTTCAAATTCAAGCCTAGTGGGAAAAAGAGGAGACCAATTGTTGCCTCATTCTCATTTATGACTCACGCCACGCCAAGTGAAGGAAAAGCTAAGCGAAGGCCGTGAACAGTCTGGAAACCTGACTTGTTCCCAGCTAAGCACAGAAGGCTTTTACAGCTGCCTCTTTGCAAGTCATCTTACCCGGGCCTCCGCTTGTTTGCTCTCTGGACGATGGCTCCCCCTGAATGTGTGCCTGGTCCGGATGTTCCAGAAGCAGCGCCCAACGCAGGAACGTCTGATGCCATTTCTGGAAGAAGGAGAGAAAGACAAGAGAGAAATTGTGACGCCCGATCAGTGCAATGTCTGTTTCCGACTACTCTCCTTGGCGGCTGGTTCTCTGTAAAGCCACAAAGAAAGCTCTACAATGTGGACAATTGCAACCCATTAGAGGCAAACAAGGGAGATCTAGGTTTTCTTCAGGGGCACACTCTCCACAGACACTGAGTAAAGCTTTCATTAGAAACTAAAGGGCTATCAGATTTTAATATTCAGACAGGTTTGGGGGTGGGTGGAGGTGGCATACAGAGGGAGAAACCCAGCTGAAAAGCTGAAGATCTGCCATTGCTCTGAACACACCATTAAATCATGTTGCCCACTTGAAAGAACGTCACAGTAATAATAAAAATGCATTAAGGGCCAGGCATGTTTTAGACCATGAAGCTCATGGAAAAGTACCCACAAAGATAATTTAAAATCCTGCTGCAGGGCCTTCCAGGGCTCTATTCCCAATCTAATTAATACCACAAGACTGTAAATCTGAAGGAACCAGCTATAAACTATCTGAAGTGCTCTTGGGGGCCCTCTTCCTCTCTTGCTCTCCCCTCCCTCTTCTTTTCAAAAAGTGAGTAAGATCATATTCACATGTAACGCGTGCAGTGTGTGTCTGGAACACAAAAAACACACGGTGGGGCTGGGAGTGGTGATGTGATACAATATTAGGTTCCATTTCTTCCAGCCTTTATGAATTAAAAATTCAAATTCTTTCCAGAGCCGGGAAGAGGAGCAAGGCACTTACCTCATCGGTGAACACTTTTTGGCAGGAATATACAGAAATAAAAGTCTGGAACCACACTTTGGAGAACTTACTGTGGCTAATTGCAGCTTATTGAGAAGGTACCAGGTGCATCTCTGTTGCACAACTGGTCACAGGACCAGACACAGGACTAAGACACAAACAGCTTATGGGGTTTGTTTGAAAGTGCCAGAGACCTCCTTCTCATTAAACTCCTTGACTTATTCAGAGCTACGAAAGGCATTTAAGAAAACCTTCACTCTATGGCTTTTTAATATTTGTGCATGTTCCCATATGCTGATGTCTCTGTGTAATATGTAACATCCTGTAGCTTAATGTCTTGGCTTCAGAAACCAATGTTATTATTCATTGTTCTTTTTTTTATTTGAATGCCAACCAGAAGAAAAAAGATTTGTGGTGCTGTTTGCAGGAACATCTGACAGATCTTTGGTCGACCAGCACAAGGTGGCAGACCCCCCCCGGCGAGTGTCCAACGCATCTACTCACAAGTAAGATGGGAAAAAGGTAGGAAGACTAATACTCTGTGCTACCCAATCCGAAACTCTGCTGTCTAGTTCTAGGGGGTGGAGATGCTGCCAGCCAAAACAACTGGTGCCATCAAAAGGGTGCCATCAAAAAGAAGTGTATTATCTAATTACTATGCTTTTATTAAACAGGGATATGGGCACCACTGGGAATTTTTTAAATCACCTCTGGCACATAAATATATTGGCCAGCAAAGCCTCAACTTTGCAACATTTATTAAAATAAACTGGAATGTATCAACAGATTATCTTCTAATATTACTTCCTGCCTTTCCCCCTTCCTTTTTACACCACTTTGTCCCAATAATGGAAAAGCCACTACTGTATCTGCTGCAAAGTTCAGCCCTTTGCCTGCTTGCAAAAATCAAAGGCGTCTTTGAAAGCGTTTGTTTTTTTCTGCTGTTTTGATCACACTGCAACTGTTTCTTCCTTCTGTCACATCTTCTACTGCTGTGTATTTGTATATCATTAATTTATATACAGTACATATGTATTCTTGCTTTCTTTTTAAACAGATGCTTAAACTTTGAATAAACACACAATAATTTTCCTTGATCTACTTCCTCAAACTTAATGCCCAAGCTATTCGTTTCTAAACTCTCAGAAGAGTAACTGGGTCCGGTGTTGCAGCAAAATAAACAACCCCCATGACATCATTCCTTGAAGACTAAACTCCATTTTTGGATCTAAAAAAGGACTTTCACAACAAATACTTTGAGATTTAAAATGAGGCAAGACACCCACCTCTGCTCACGAGTGAACAGCAACTTAAAACACCCGTTCAGATTGCTTCCCCGCCCTCCACAATTTTTAACCTGATGAGGAGTTCTGAAGAGCCCCAAAGCTTGCATACTTTTGCGGCATCAGATCCAAAACCGAATAAAGTCCAGTGGATTCAGGATGTCGTCTCATTCATATAGATCGATACGACCATCTCTCTCCTCCCACCCCCAATTTCCCCTTCTGTCATGCCCCTTTAAGCCTAAGCTGTCAACCCTCCTTCCCTACACCAGGCTACCCTTCAGCTGCCCCACACTCCAACCCCAAACCCCATTCCCACATATTAATTGCCCTTCAACCACTCCCACATGGGATCACGCCCCCCCCCACACCCAACACCTCGCCTCACTCTTCCTCTCCTACTTCTTTCCACCCAGCGGAAGGGCAACAGGGAGTCCTCCGACCACATGTGCCCCCACGGTCATTTTTGGGGGCCACTCTGAGGTCCCTCCTGCTGCAAACCATTTGTGTTCCCCTAAAAAGCCCCAGTAATGACATTTCACCCCCCTCTCCGGAGAACTGCAATCACACGGAGCTGCGCCCCCCCCAAAAAAGAGGGTTTTGCAATAAAATGAAGAGACGCCCCCGCACAAAAGCAGCGGGGGGAAAAAAAGCAGGGATGTCGCCCACCCGGCAATTCTGATGTTCCTTCGTTTTGCCCATCTGGAGGGAAGGGACTTTGGGGGGAAGTAGATTCTGTAGGGGGGGGGAGTTCGCCCATGGGGTGCCCCCCTCACAAGTTATCCCCTTCCCCTCGCCCTCCTCCCTTGATCCCCGA